AGCATGGAAGTGTATTATAAACCATACAAAACTGTATGAGAAACATTATTAATAAAAATTATGTCAAAGATGCAAGAAAATGGAGTAAAATAATCTGATGTCCAAAAAAAGATTAGGTAGCATCTTGTTTGTTTTGATTCATGATGGTAAGATTAAGTATTTCTTAATAAATCTGCTAACCTTGTGAAATTTGTGGCGTTTTCCTTTATTTTTATATTCTTTATTATTTACTATTATTTCTATAGCTGCATTCCAATGTTTTACTTGTCACCAATATAATATTTTCACAAAGGACAATCACTCATGGATCAAATAAGCAAGGAAAGCCCTCTTGGAACATCTCAAGACTGCATGACCATTTTGACTTCACAGGAATTATTCTGTACATGTAAGAGTTCTGACTTGAGCAAAATGGCAGAGGAAAGCACAATGCTATGTTTAGGACATCTGTAGAAACTGAAATGCTTCTAAGTTTTGTCATTCCTATCCTTCTAAATCATTATTTACTTGAATCTTCTCGAATTTCTAAGCCACTTGAATCTTCTGTTTCTCAGATCCAGAATGTCAACCTTTTATTTCCACTTGAGAAAACGCCTAACTTAAAAAGAGCAACTGGAGCAGCTTCTCTGGGAAACAGCCCTACTGAAGGGAAATCTGGGCTTGTGCCATTTAGCTTTAGACTCTTCATTTAGGTGCCTAAACTCCAATATATTTTTTTCTTGGCTTTTGGTAGCCAGGTTCCAAGTCTGAATCACCCTGTCAGGGTTTCTTTGTGTTTTCACTGACAGCAGAGGCAATGCAAGGAAACAGGCAAGTAATTTAGCTATCATTAATTGTAGGTATCTAAAGTTAGGCACTGCATGTGCTCCCCAGTTGACTGCATTATCCCACATCAGAGATGATGTTACATAAATGGTATTTTCTTTACATTTCATTCCATGAGACTCAGAAACTGAAGACTAATAAATAATCTCATTAATAAAAAGACTGAAGTATAAATTATTTGGTTTGACACATACAAAAGGGATGTATATACATAAAATCATTACATTTCATAAAGAAGAAAAATTGGATTTATTTGTAAAGTAAGTCCATTTTGGTTTATCTGCCTTATTAGGGGAATTATTTAGAAATGAATGACAGATGAATGTGAAGGATAACACATATACTTAAAATGTAATATTTAATATAATTTTATATAGCACATTAAAGCAGCAAGACAATCTACAGTCACTTTGAAACTGATAATCTCAGCCACGCTTATCGTTTGCTTTTGAATATCAAGAATCTTACCCTTTTCCAACTGCAGCGTGTTGCAGCAGCTTTATTTAATCATAGAGCCTTGAAGCAGCTCCCTTCTGCCAGTCCTTGCAGCCGCATTGCTGCTTTCAGTTCCCCATGTAACAGACAAGTGTATTTCAGCGTGTAGAAACTGCATGAAGGGAACACAGAAGGCAGAAAGGAAATAATTCCTTCAAAAGGCCTAGCAGAACATAAAGTATACGGCTACAGAGGTAGATACAGATATTTATTCTGGTGTTGATTCTCATAAAATATATTTGCAAATATATTCCTAGCAACTATTGAGCATAAAAGGGAAAGAGGAAAAGGGAGCCTCCGAAATAGTATTCTGCAATTAAACTGGTGTCTGTAAAACAGGAGGTCATGCTAAATAAATAAATAAATACCTAATTACCACTAATCCACCTACTGAGACAGTGATTCCTCTCAGAGACTACTGTGTCTTTCCATATTGAACTCTCAGCTCTGGAGCAAAGAACAGAGAGAGAAAAAAGGACAGGAAGAGCCTCGATTTTGTTTGATTTTGAATTTCCCTCTGGAGATGCCTATCTATCTCCCTTGACAAGATCAGAGGTTTAGGGCATCACTTGGCTTCTTTCAAAGGCATAAACAGAATGTTTAGGATTCAAAGCCTAAAGGAGACCCATGTAAGTCATGGTAGACTGTAAAATGATTATGTTCATTTTTGTTCCTATATTCATTCATAAGCTAAGAATTCTTATATTTACATTTACTAAATAGAAAATTTGGGCAAGATCCTCATTTGGTTTAAATTGCTGTAGCTCTGTTACAAGCTTTAGGTATAAAAGCTTTTAGATATAAGCTTTATATCTGTGCTTTAGGTTCAAAAACCACTTAAAGTTGCTACATGTCAACAATTAGTTTCATTTGCAAAATCCAAAGAACCATTTAGCAGGAAAACAAAAAGTCCTAAAACTACATGTATGATAGAGAAGTGCCACAGATTTAATTTCCCACAGTCCAAAATACATTATTGTCATTTACATAGATTAAAAATGAACATTAAGTAGCTGAAGATGCCAGCAGTCTGAACTGGTAAACTCGTACACCCAAGTTACAAAAGCCTCCAGTGATTGCTTATGGTGTAGGACAGCACAGTATAAGGAACATCACAAGAGAACAACTGTTGACAATGCCATTCTTACCTTTTAAATGATAACCCTATGCATGGTTTAATAGGCAACATTAATTAAATTGTTGATTTACAGAGAAATGAAGGGTTTTTGTGGGCATTTTGGACTAAGCAGTAATACTGCAAATGGTGAGGTTTTATATATATTTACTTTTCAAATGGCATTTTGTATTGCATTGTTACTGTACCAGAGTACATGAAGAAAAAAAAAAAAAAAAGCCAAAGTTTTCTGGAATAATACCTCAGAGTACTTCTTTTTTTGAATGAGCATTATGTTTTCAAATGCATTTGAAAACATAATACATGCAATCTGAATTTACCCAGAATTACCTCATCCTCAGCTAGGATGGTTATACATGAAAACGTGACAGTATCTTCTGCTTTTTAGAGTAGACAGAAATTCTGCCACTGGATTCAATGGGGAAAAAAAAACACCAAAAAACAAACCCCAAAAAACACAGACATAAGAAAAATCCCTTTTAAATGTGCTTTAGCCACAATGTCTTAAAATTCAACCTATAATTTTTGCTTTTTGCTGACAAGCAAATGGTCAGCACCTTTTTGAAAAGGATGACCCCCAATGATATTGAAAGGCACGTCATCAATAAGCACCAGTCTCTTAGTAGACGACCCCAAGCTAGCTTTCAACCAGCTGACTGAGATACTTGCTGTGAAGCAGCAGCAAAACCCATCTAAGGCACCAAGGAAATACCTGGTTTTACAGCTGACACGGAGCTCTGCACTGCCATAGCTACCACTCCTGCCACTAGAAGAGTTACCAAGATGAGATGAAGTCATGCAGTAAGTGCTATGTGGACACAATCAAAATGGGTCACACAGAATTAATGTTGCACTGTGATGCTAAAAAGACAAACTTACAGAGAACTGAACGAGAGACAGAAAATATGAGGGAACAACATGGTTCAAACTCATCAAGCAGATGCCATAGCACTCTAACTTTCATTATGCTAAAGATGATTATTAATGATCTGGCAGGCCAAGCAAGCAATGAGGTAGCAAAATATGAAGATGACAGGAAATTATTGATATTAATCAGAACATGTAAGGCAGGGATTTTGGAGATACTCAGTGAAGTTAATCACCTCCTAACTGTTTGTTTGTGCCAGGTCTGGAATCAGCATAAATTCTTAGCATTTTCAGGCTGCATTTTTGCACACAGAGAAAATAAAAAAACATGAACTGAGGGAGAGGAAAGCACTGGGAAATTAAAAAAAAAAAAGTGTAAAACTTTAAAATTATTGGCTTACACACAAAAAGTAGTTCTGGGTGCAAAATTGGTGATTTTTAATATCACATAAGGATAAATTATGAGTTCACTTGTCTGCATTAGCAAGCTGAAAATACTGTAGCTTCCTGTAAATGTGTATAGTAACTAACACATCAGTTTGTGTTCTAATTGAAATTTTCAGGCGTTTCAACAATAAACTTACTACCATCATGTACCATACAGTCTTCATGTTTTTATATTTTTCCTAAAATTATGAGTAGCAAGATAAAAATGGACATGGTTTGGTCTAAGTCCTCTTTCTTATGCATGTGATTATTTTGCCTGCCCTGATGCATCCACCCATTTTCCCCAGTGTTGTGCTTAAGACATGCTAAATATGCTTAATTTGTGTAAATGGTCAGCCAGAGAACTTGCCATGCATGACAGTGAACATTTACCTATGTCTTTGCCATAGAAGCGTCCTACCAACTGCTGTGCAATGTCTAGTGAAAGAGCCTTAATCTTCACTCCTAACAGAAACTACTATGAGGACAGTGACCACAGCAAGGGAAGGGCAACATTAGTTGCATTCTATATTGAAGGGTGATACTGGTTTCATTTTATATGAAAGGGTTGAATAACACCATACAAATTAAACCGTCTAATAACTTCCTTGCTATTGTAAGAAGCTTATAGAGAAGTGCCACCAAGGAAACCGTGACTTGTCACACAAGATGATGCTTCCACACATCCAAGAAATTCTTCCATGTGAGGGTGGTGAGACACAGGTTGCCCAGAGAAGCTGTGGCTGCCCCATCCCTGGCAGTGTTCAAGGCCAGGTTGGACGGGGCTTTGAGCAACCTGGTGTAGTAGAAGGTGTCCCTGCCCGTGGCACAAGACTGGAACTGGATGAGTTTTAAGAGTCCCTCCAACTCAAACCATGCTGTGATTCTATGACAGCTACAGGCGGCTCCATACGTGGGACCCAAGTGCCATCAGCCGGGAGCAGCCCACACCGTGAAGCCTTCTCCCCGCATAAACGACGGCTACGGATGGCTCCACGCATTGGGTGGAAGAGCCACCAAATGAAGCTCAGCGGCAGGGCAAGGCCGCGCCCCTGCCCATGCACGATGAGTTTTGCTCGGGTCCCTGGCAGTGACACTGCGGCCGCCGCGGCTCCGCGGAGGGACACGCACTTGGCGCCGCTGCCCGCCCCCCGCTCTGCCCCCAGCCCTCCCGCCGCCAACGCGAGGTCTCCTCCTGTCGCGCGCGCGCTCCCCCTCCCTCACGCCCGCGGCGGCGGCGGCGGCCTCGCGCATGCTCGGGCGGCTGGGCGGCGCGTGCGCGCGGGGCGGCGGTCTGCAGTGCGGGGCGGGAGGGCGGGCGGCTCGCGGGGCGGGGCGGGGGCGGGGGCGCGCGGCGGCGGTGGTGCGAGGTGCTGCGCGAGGTGCGGCGGCGCAAGCGGCTGGCGGGCGCGCAGCGAGGCGCCGTCCCTCCGGCCCCAGCACCCCGGCGGGACCCAGCGGCCCAGCGCCCTCCTCCGCACCGCGGACAGCTCTCGGCGCCCTCTGTAAGTGCGCCACGGTGGTCAGGCTGGGGTGGGGGGTCCGGGCTCCGCACCCCCCGCCGGGCTTCGGGGCGTGCGGGAAGCTTCGTCGGGGCGCCGTCAGCAGGGCTGCCCGCCGGGCGGAGAGATTGGAGCCGGGGACGCGCTGGCTCGGGCTGCCCCGCGCGGTGTTCTCTTCTCGGGAGGACAGCGGGGGCCGGGGCGGGGGCTGCCGGGTCGACGCGGCCGCTCCCCATCGCTCGGGGGTCCTCCGCCCCGGGAGCAGGGAAGTGGATACGAGCGAGTGGTCCTCCCTGCTGCGGGCGCGGGGGTGTAGCCTCATGGGCGGGATGAAGGGCAGTCGCGCCCGAGGCTATTTGCCGTCAACTGTTGCGAGATAGGAGACCGAACCCCCGCCTTCGATCCGGATATCGATACCGGCAGCATCAAACGGACGCATCGATCTCTCGCTTCACAGTTTGCGCCTGGAAATTGTTTCGGGGAAAGTGAAGTCTTTGGCGTTCTTGGGCGTTTGGAAAGAGCCAGTAAGGAAAAAGATAATAAACCCTAAAGACCGTGCGAAAGCGAAGAGCAGGAGCAGTCCTCGCAAGGTCATCACACCCGCGGGGAAGGCAGGAGTGCTCCCGGCCCTTGTGGCCGCCCTATCGCCGTTGTTACTGCTCGTGAGAGGGGGTTTATTTCGTTATTTCGTTTTATTCGGCACACGGGGCGGGCGCAGGGCGAGCCCCGGGCGCGGCGGGAGGTGCAGGCGCGGAGGTGCCGCGCTGCTACCGCGCTCTCGGGCACTGCTCGGAGTGAAATGGAGGTGGGAGGAGATGACACAGGCTGGTGTACGGTCCCAGCCATCATCTCCCACACGAAGGCGTGAGGAGGAGGAGAAGGAGACGACGGGGAGAGAATTCATATCCAGAGAGCAACACAAAAGGAGGAAGGAGCAGGTTGAGGCAGATCGTGAGCAGCCGTGGGGAAAAGGGAGGCGTTTTCCGCTCTGAACCGCGCGGAGAGGAGTGGCGGGGCTCCGCGAGGTGCGCGGCCGCGGAGGGACGGACAGTAGGTGTGGAGGGGGGGGTCAGCCCGCCCGTCGCAACTTTGCGCGCAAGCCCCGCTTGGAAACGAGTTGTACGCGGGGGGTGATGTGCCGTGTGTGCGGTGCCGGGGCCGCTCCCCTAGCCCACGGGGATGCCGCACCGGGACACGGGGCTCTGCGCTGGGCGGGATTCCCGCCGCCGGCTCCGGCGGGGTCGCTGGAAGGGCCCCAATAGCTCTGCCTTGCCCCCTGCAGCTCAGGTCCCCGCACCCCCGGTGGAAGGGTCCACCACCATCACCCCGGGGTGTCCCGTCCTTCCCCGGAGTTCTGCACTCGCCCCACTGCTCCCACTGGTGACCACCCCCTAGACGGGCAATGCCTTCCGTGCATGAAGCCACCTGCAAGGTCACCCCACAGCCCCTCTTCTGCATCTTGTCCCCAGCCCCACTGAGCTCTTCATCTGCTTGGGTGTTGTGTGTGTCCGTACTCCCCCAGCGCTCCCCAGCCTTGCCCCAGCCTGGGTTGGCAGCTTCGGCCTCCGACGTGGGGAGGAATGGTTGGAGAATGGGGAGGGGGGAAGAGGGAAGGAGCCTGATCTTATGCAACTGCAGCCCCCCCCGCGGTCCCTGGAGGAGCCCGTTCAGGAGTTTTTTTAGGAGGTGGAACGGGGCTCTCTGCCCTTCCAGGGCGAAGGGGAGCCCGAGTTCGGCTGTGCGGAGTTACCGCCGGGGGAACTGCGCTCCCAAATCCTGCATCGCCCGAAACGGTGCAGCGAGGCCGGGGGGTGAGGGTGAGGAGGCGGCGGCGGCGACCACCTCCACCGGCAGGCTTTTCGGCTGAAAAAGCGTGCGGATAACAGGGTAATTAAAAACCTGCCCTTTCGTTAAAACTGAAATGTGATTACTTGCACATATGAACCTCGGCCAATCAGCAAAAGGCCAAATGTAAGAATAAATTCCACGTTCTTGCAAAGAAGATGATAATGTAACAGATACAGGTGCTTCTCCCAACAATTCTAGTGGCAAAATATTTATAGCAGTATTTTGTAGTGACCGTTTCTGTGGATAGGCATTGTCTTCCTTCGTATATTAGAAAGTTCATCTCTCAGAGGTACCACCATCTCTTTATGAAGAAGAAAAAGAGGCACGTATTTACTAACCGGGGTATGATAAGGAACAGATTCCTCACGTTCAAGTAAAACTAAGTATGCACAGCCTTTGTAAAATACATATTCACTGTCCCTTTCAGAAGGCATGCTTACTAGTAGTTTGTTTCTATGACACATTTTCAGACTCGTTAGCTTTCACTGCTACCCACTACTACCCTTTTTCAAAAAAAGAGCAATGTTTATTTAAGACCATTGGTTTACTTGAAGGGTCTTCCAGTTAAGTGTTAGAGCAGCACTATGCATTTTGTGGACTGTGATCAATTTTAATTAATTACATTTCACGTCTTCATTCAAACAAAACATACTGTGGACTAATGCTGCTGTCAAGGAAAAATAAGGAGATACATTCTTGATCCTTGTTATGTATTATTCCTGCCTTTTAATTAAGGACTGGATCCTTATCTTCTTGTTCAGCCACAAACCTCTCTGGCATAGAACTGCAATATTTAATCAGTTTTTTAGGTCGTCCTGTCTTCTTGCCCCATACAAATGCATACCCATACATAGAATTGCGCCAGTGGTTTTTCACCATGCTTCATGTTCTGCAGCATCCAGTTATTGACAGCACAATAGCCGTTTGTCGAGCGACATCTTTGTCAGACTCTTAAGGCATTACATAACCTCACAACTGCAGAGCAGTGCCAGGGATGTCCCCACTGCTGTTGGTTCCATTGTACAGGTCCCGCTGTGCATTCCCCTGATGTACTACACTGACAGAGTTATAGCATATACCATGCCACAGTTCCAACTAGAAGAAAAATTAAGCCCTGGCCAGAATAGTAAGGTAAAGTCTAGGTGGGATGTGATGGGTAGGACAGGGCAGAGCAAAACAGCACAGCTGAGGATTGCTGGTTCAGCCTGCAGGAATCAGGCTGGCTGCGTGGGATAGAAGCAATGGAATGAAGCTGGCATTGGATCTGTTTGGGAAAGCACTGCATGTGTCCCAGGGTACGACACCCTGCTGACTGCAGCATAGCTGGGCTGCACTGGGGATCCCCATGCGCCTTCCAGCACCATCTTGCTCAAGGGCTCAGGGAATGAATGGGCTGCAGCACCAAGCTCCTGCAGTTCCCTTCTCCATGTGTTGGGATGGTATAGCCCTCTTGACTTTTCTGCCTGTACTCAATGCAGCTGCAGGCAAGATCTGAATCTAAGAATCTAGATTCCTTTTAACAAACACATGAATATGGTGAACTTTGTTACGGGAGCTTCCAAAACTGTTTACTTTTCAAGCTGTTGTCCTGGTTCTGTTTTGCACTTTTGGAATTCTAAATTTATGTCTGTCTGCACTGCACATTCCTGAGTTTTTTTCTGTTATATTTGTGCCTCATGCTTGTGTTTTATGTATTCACTTGTGCAAATTTTACAGATTCTTGTGGATTTCTATGATTTCCAGGAGTTTATGTCACTTGGGCACACAACGCTGGCTCATCCTCCAGCTGTGAATTAAACAGCAGTTGAAATTAGAAACTAAACGCTAATTGAGATTAGAGTTAGAGCATTTTAAATACAATAGGCAAATTTCTTTTTAAAGTGCCTGGAATTGAAACACGTAGCACTTAACATGAAAAACTGTGCTCCTTGTCTGTGATGTCAAACATTTTCAGCATTGGCCTTCATCCCTTTATTTTTAATTTGTTTAACCAGCATGGGTTGGAGCTAAATTTCCTTTGTTGTTAGAATGGTCTAAAAAGAATCGTGTTTCAGAATTTAATTGCCAGTAGATTTTGCACTTTCCTTTAATTTTGTATTACACTAGGAAAGAAGAGCAGCCGTGTGGTCTTCACACATTATTCCTCAAGCCTAATTTTGACTCAGACTTCACTGTAATGAGCCTAGACTGTGTTATCTGTCCCCCTTTTCTTGTGGGTCCCCATTACTTGCATTTGCGTACTTTTTAATATTCTGCACATCTTTAACCTTTTTTGTTCTTCCTTTGGAGTGTAATTTTGTTTTTTCTGTTTGTGTACCTTCATTGCATCTTTGAATTGCTTTTCTCTTCACCAGTTATGTTCTTCACTGTTTATTTCCTTTATTCTGTTTATTCCCACTTTTTATTTCACACACTGTTTATTCCCACTTCCTTGGGAAAGATCATGTCTTACTCTATAGCTTCTCTGCGTGCCATCGCTGAAAGCATTTCTGATACCAGAATACAGCAGACAGGGAAGACCATAAGCATATATAGTGCTCTAAGATGTAAGGGTCCAGATGGGCTTCCATCACGGGGAGGCACTTGCTTACTTCAGTTCTGACTCTTATCTTTATTCATAGAAAGAGAGAATCTTATCTTTTGAATTTTATACTATTGCTCTGAGAGTAATATCTATAATCCCTTTCAAAGATACAGAAACAGATGATAAAAAGGATACTTGTTTGTGAAATACAAAATCCCTGGGTAGTGCTTCAAATCCTACTGCTTTTTAAGTTATAAGTTGCTAAGACTATTGATGTGTTTTTTCAAATTTGTGTTTTAAACTTTATGCGGACATAATCCACAGGGTTTCTGCTTTCAGGAGCTTTTCCACATCTAGATATGAATATGACCCAAAGGACAATAACACACATGTAGGAAATTAAAGCAGATTATTAGAGATGGTCTCATAGCTGAAGGTTGTAAAAAGTAAGTAGTTTCAGGGAGCCAATTGAAGGAGAGGAAGAGATAGAAATCACTTGATATTCCATTTCACTAATGTGTTTGTTAAAAATATCAAGCTGGTTTTCTTTGTGATTATTCCCCTGAGGAGGCTAAGGAACAGAATATGTTTCATAAAGTAACTTGTAAAACCACAGTTAATTGAAATAAACAGTGTTCATTGGGTTTGTGATGACAAATGCCTAAGTAACTTAAACATGATATGTTCTAAAATGCTGATATCGAGGACAAAGAAAGAAGTATTAAAGAGATTGGAGATTCTCTGCCTGGAATTGGAGATTCTCTGCCTGGAACAAATCCCAGAGTCACTTTTTCAATCCCAGGTTGCACAAATTTAACAGAATGTATTATAGCTTCCCCAGTTTCACTGTTTTGAAGAAGCAAGGGTTTGCTACATTCTTGAGTTTGTCAACAACCTACGATTTTTAAAGCCGTGAGAAGCGATAATTTGAGGTTATCAAGTGAGTTTTTTACTAGGAAAATAAAGAATTTAAAAATCACTTTATGATCAGAAAGCCATTTGGGGAAGAATATCTACACAATCAACATTACAAGAATCTAAATTGATGTGCGGGAAAAATCCAAGCTGTAATGGTGATTTGTATAGCTTTAACACTAATATATATGAGACACTAAACTTCTTTATTAAAATGATCTTTAATCACTTTTGGCTTAAAGCAGATGTAGTTTTAAATAATTGATGATTTTGGAAAAGCATCATTGTTTTTATGCAGCTACACTGTATACTTTACTAAATACCAGAAAGAATCATTTTACCTGTTTCTTGTTCACTAAATTGACTTTCTCAAAGTTCATTGGTGAGAAGATGTGAAACTGACATCCATAATGGTATGATGTATAAATGGCTTTTTAACTGTTTTGTTTTCATTTGATCCTACCACGGTATTTTCATATCATAGTTAGTCATAACAAAGTAATGAGATATTGTTTACCTCTGAATGACTTGAATCCACCATTATAATAACAACCAGTGGGATTACCTTGGTTGTTCAAACTTTGATAAGGAATATACTGTCAGCAATGTACAAGCCATAATCTGTACTCAGGAAAAAAAAAACAAACTCTGATGGTAATTTACAGAGCTTTTAGGCAAATACAAGGTTTTAAACTTTTTGATGAAAGCTACTTTACTTGTAGCTAAGTAGAAAGGCGTGTTTTAGAAAGCTTTTAGATTCATACATGTTTAACTCTGCAAGGGCAAATAACATGAACCTTAACCAACTGTCTGGCGGAATCCGCAACATTTGACTCAGCAATGCTTGTCTAGTCTTCTGTTCATGAAGCACATACCTTTTTGTTTTTATTGAAAAACAAACAAACAAAAAGCCAAAAACCAACCAAAAAAACCACCAAAACCAAACAATCCCAACCAACCCAAGATCAGAGGTAATGGCTTTTACAAGATCAGAGGTAATGGCTTTTTTTTTTTTTGGCAGTTCTCCCTAGTATTTTGTAGTAGTTAATTATCCTTAGTGTTAAAACATGCGCTTTGGTTCTTGTCTTCTTTACCAGTTCTTGAGCCAATCAATCTATGAAGTAGTTGAAAGAATATTAATCTTAAATAGGTAAGCTATTGAGCCAGGTGCTTGTAAAATACCTATGACTTTATTTTAGTATCTAAAAAATAATTTCTCTTTTTCAATAAAAGATTAGTCTTCCACCTAGTGAAAAACATTTTTATTCAAAAGTGGATATTAAATCACTCACTACAAGATGGAATTAAATGGAAGTGAGGAGAGCCGAACGTTACGCTTTTTGTGGACTGCATTTGAGAATATCTGTGTATTTAATTAGACCTTGTTCAGAATGGAGTCCTCTAAAATTAGAACATCTTGTTTATAAAAGCTCTTAGAATACAGCATATTTCTGTGTACTCTTATCTGCTATATTTAGGAATACAAAGTAACTGAAGACTCATATTTGGCATATTAGCAGTTTGAATTAAAATGCTTTTGTTTTTGTAATAGAAGTTCGTATATCTAGGAAAAAAATGTGATTTTGAAAAGTTGGTAAAAGTGAACATTTTTACGAGGTCTTAACACTGAAAATAAAATCAGCTTATGTAATGGATAACACTCAAAAAGTTATTTCTGCAGGTATTGCTGATGCCCAGCACATACACAGTTGATGTTCTTATATACTGTACTTTTTTAAAGTCAATTTTCATTTGAATGTTTTTGCTTTTTTTTTCAAATGACACAAATGAGTACCTGCATTCAAGGATGGTGTTGAAATACCTGTTTTGAACTGCATAAAAGGCTTTCAGTTTGAAAGTATGATAGCCTGAAAAGGAATTTTAGTTTGATGCATAAGACATTGGATTGTACTGTCACTTTTTGCAAATCAGCCTGATTTATATGAAATGACTGTTTCTTCAGATGCCTTCTAATGAAGTTTGACCTGTATTTTTCACCTGTTTTGGGGTTTTTCGTCTGACTTGGATATATTAGTACTCTTGTATCTGATCACATTAGCCACATCGTAAGGTCAAAGGATGTTCTGCAGTGTGCTCCAGTGAGCTTGGAATCTGTTCCTTCATAGCCATTCAAAATGAGAAATTTCAGAAGATTAGCATCCTTTTTGGTCTTCAGAACATTAGGTGGTTTACCTTGTTAACACTTACATATAACACATCCTTAAATTAAGAGAGTCAAAGAAATCACAAATTGTTTTTCCAATATAAGTACATAAAATATGCCTGCTGCCTTCTGACAGTGAATTTCTAATGATTCAGCTGTATTACTCAAATGCCAGAGTGCTTGAGAGAGGTAGTTTCTAAGGCTTCATTTTCCTCCTCAGGTATGGTAAGTAGATCACAAAGTAGCCTTCATCATTTTTCATTAACTAGTTTTGCTTACAAGAGCTGTCTCTTGCTGTGGTACACATTGGGTGAGTGCTTACCTATTGAATTCAATGGCTGTTTTTTATTGATATTAATTCTTGTCTGGGGAAATAGGGTTGGAAGGGGTTATGAGATTTTAGATTTTTCTCAAATGTCTGCCACAAAGAGGTGCTACTGGAACACAGATCCATAAGTAATATAAGTTTCTACATGGTTTAAGTGGTGAACATTACTCATTCAGGCTTCCCACTCTGTTATGA